AGGTTATTACAACAAAATCCGACTTTAAGTCCTACTGACAACGCCATATATTTTTTATTGTTTTGTTTTAGCTTAACATTAGACGTTAAGCAAGCGTTCGCAAAGAGATGAATTAACAGTGTTTATTTTGAGTGACAATGAAAAATGGAGAAAAATAATTAGAGTATAAAGGATTAGTGCTAATATAACATGAAGGGATTTTAAACATTAGTTTAATAATAATACACTTTTAAAATAAGTCATATATTACATCCAAGATTTCGTATCTATAAAAGATATAAATATTGAATGGTACAAGACTTCAGAAGAAAAATTCTAATCTGTCTTTTCAATAACAATTGTTATTGGAATAATTTCAATAATCAACTTTTCAATAATAAATCAATTTTTTTTTCTAAAAATTCAGTCAAAAAACAAAACTTTTTGAATATTTCTTAAAACCTCTCAATACGTTCTGATTGGAATTGGAATCTGATAAGAATTTTTAGCATTCAAATTTAATTAATTAACTTTAGTTATTGAAGATTGTTATACAATAAAAATATAATATAATTTTGTGAGATTTCGAGTAGTTCTATTTTGGTATCATATTTTATAATGTTATATAGTTTTTGAATATAAAATTCTAGCAATTAAATATTAATTTAATGATAATGAGACTCTGATTCATTAACTTTTATTAATAAAAGTCTGATTCAATAAAGATTATTAATAAATTAGTAGTTTTATTTTGTTATCTTTACAAAATTATATTAATAATAAAACTCTAGAAAATAAGCATTAGGTGGTACATTTTGATTACTAAGAATTTTTTTTAGTTATAGTCGATTGTAGTTTGCAGTGAGCTGATGTGAATGCTTAACTTAAATTAGATATTTTTCTCTATGGAGTATTTTATCATTTTTCCAGAATATCTGACTCGCCAATCTTGTGTTTTCTCAGCGTTTCAAGTCATTTTGAATCATTTGAGACCAAAATTAAAAAAACTATGTGTTTACGTGTATGCAAAAATTTAAAAGATATTCGATGAACTTTGATAGAGGCTTGTGTTGATTTTTTTGGAGATTAGCTTATTTTTTACAATTAGCTCTTAAGTGCAAACTTTCCATCCACGATTTAGACGGAAAAACCTGAACCGATTTTAAAAATTCAAAAACCACCCAAATAACATGAGTTGGTAGTCGTACTTATTAGTTTTTAGCAAAGTAATTAAGAAAATATTATTTTTGGTTTTTTTAATGGAACTCAACGTGGCAATACGTTTAAGAACTAAACCTTATCCAAAAATAGAATAGTTCTACGAAATGTGGTTGAATTATAAAAATTCGTTAAAATTTGGAATAAAAGGCTGTGTTTTTTCATGCGCATGTTTGTGCACTATAAGTAATACAATTGCAGATATTATAAGTTTGATTGAAAGATATTTATTGGAAATCACATAAATTACTTTTAATTATAAACCTAAGTTAAAAATTTCATCTAAACAGCTATTGATTAAGTCGATCATTTACATTACCTTAAAGCAGTCTTTCTCAAAGTGGGCAATATCGCCCCTTGGCGATTATAATATCTAAAGGGGCGATAAGAGGCCCCTAACCAAATTTTATTACAAGTATACACTGTTTTAAGTAGCGTTTTATTTGCTCTCACAGAAAAAAATTCTAATTTAGAATGTAAGGTCACATCAATTAATATAGCACACTATAACTATATAATTAAAATTTAAAAAAAGTTTTTTTTAGAGATAATAAATTTTGATCTTCAAAGGGGGCACTAGAAAAAATAAGTTTGAGAACCACTGCCTTAAAGCCTCAAAGCAAAAATGCCACCAATATTTAGTTTTTGTGTAAATTTTGCAGCAAAAATTAAGACTTCGCCAGACACTGACTATTTTTGAATTATGGCCGCTTCTGATTGGATTTAATAAGTGCTTGTAGCATAAATATTTTCTTTCAACTGTTTAAAAATTATTATAAATATAGTGATAAAACAAGCTAGTTTAATGGTCGATACTACTTTTAATGTAATAAATATTCTTCCATCATAATTCCCAGTATCACAAAAAGCATTTAAATCATAGAAACATAAACAAGAGCAGACATCAGAGGATCGTTTTCGAATTTGGAGGCGCAGGGCCCGACCGCTCTACTTTGTTTATAAAACTACGTGGGAAGACTATGCAACTGATCGGTCTTCGAGGCAGTTTAGTTACAATTTTGTTTATACTATTTCAACTTCGGCTGTGTTTTGTAAATTATCCAATATATGCATGAGCCTTGCTTGGATAAATATTTATATCATAAAATACATACAACATAACTACTGTCGAAGAGTACATTAAAATTTGACTTCTGGGCGCAAGATAAAGGAACTTCTCATGAACTAGTGGCAAGAATGGTCGAATAAAGGTGAATAAATTCAATCACTCTAAATTTATTTTGAATGTAGTGTATTAAAAAAAGTAGTTAGAAATAATTTCATGACAATAATTCGTTAATCACTCAAATTATTGTTCATGATGTTAAAAATGAAAATATGGATCGCTTAATTGCAGACTAAAATAATTTTGTCTATATAAATTCAGAAGAAAATAATAAATAAAACATTGTATTTCAATTTAGAGAAAATATATTTATAATAATTTATAACTTCTAACATCAACAGTAATATTTCTGATTATGATTTGATGTATAAAGAAAATTGAATAATTATTAATTTAAATTAATATTGTTATTAAAATTAATAATGATTATTATGAGAAATAATATCGAGAATTTGGGGGTTTTTCATGAATTCTTGGATACTAATCAAATTTTGGTACTTAAAAAATATTTTTTTTAACTATATTATAATATACTTAATTTGGAGAAGTTATTGTATTTATTTATTTATTATGAAAAATGATATTAAAGAATAGCTAAAAATTGGATTATCTACTTAGAAATTGCTATATATCGATCAAAATTTCATTATAAATATAGTAAACAAAATAAATATGTATTTGTACTTTAAACAATTTTATCTACAAAAAACCTTAAAATCAAAACTTGCTGAAATTCATAATATAGTATGAGATATTAAAAACAATATCAGTAAAGAACTTCAACATTAGACCTGCACTGTTGAACTAATTAAAGATAGTATAAAAATGAGTTTGTTAATAAAGACTATTTGAATATTTTCTTCAATAAATTCATAAGACATATAAGAATCTTATATAAATACCCTAATATAAAAGTAGCTTTTTAAAAAACTTTAGGTTTTATAGAACGTATATTTTCACTATATTATTATAATTAGAGTAGATTTATATCTATTATAATTTTAATCAGCTATAAATGTGCTCAAATGATTTATATTCTAGAGTTATTAAACGATGTAAGTGACGATATAATTGCCGATTTAATAAGTGAGATTAATCATTGCCATTTATTTGGTTGCTTTATTTTAAGATTATAAAACAACTCATTAGAGTGTATCTGTACATGCAACTGGGATATAATATAATTTGTGCTCTAATTGGAATGCATATGTTCATTTGTTCATATATGCAGAAAATTACAGACTTTTATCTGAAATTATTAAGTACACAATTGAAATATAATAACATCCAGTAATAATAAAATAAATTTAAAACTAAGTTATTATACTTTACAAAGATTCTTCTATTCAAATTGTATTTAGGAACTTATAATTATGACATTTTATAAACCACACATCAACAATGTTTTTTTTCTCTAAAATAAAAAAAAGAATTAAAATAAAGTAATAACTGGCAATTTATTATTTGGTATTCTATATGTTTATTTTCATTTATTTATTTATTTATTCATAAGCAAGCCGTAATCAATAATAAAAGATATTATTTCAGGCTCTTATCAATGTCCTGAACTGAATTAAAAACTTTGGCATTTCAGGATTATTTTCAAAGAGGTTTTCAAGGATCTAGACCGAAAATATTGGAGCACTTTAGGTATGTAATTACTTTTGAAAATTATCTCGGTGACTAATTTTAGGGACCCCACTGCAGGAATTTATTTATCATTTACACTTAAAAGCATTTTAGGTCTATAAGGAATGAGCTGTAAAATTCACAGTATATATTTATAATAATCTATTTGAAAATGCACAAAATAATTAATAATCATAAAATAAGTGAAAATCCGGTGCTCATTTTTCTGTTGACAGAAATTCTGTTGCAAGAAATGCTAGCGTCGTGTGACCGGGGTTATTACATTAACATGGATATTAATGTAATAATGTAATGTAATGTAATAATGTAATAAGACTTTAATATTGTGAATCTAAAAATTCTGTATTTCATAATATATAATTGGCAATGGTCATGTACAAAAAAACTTATTTCTATTGAATATTAATCTAAAAATGAAGCAAAAACATGATGAGAATAAATTTGAATGCAAAGAACTTTATGCAATCCCCATTGTTAGAATATGATGTATTTGATATACAGTTTTAAAACACTATATTTTATAGAAAGTATATTTAACATAGCAATATAATAAAAAATAGTATATTCCACATTTTTGTGTCTGTATTTAAATTTAAATCTGGCGCTCTTTTCAACGTTTTTTTTCAAAAATTTTATGCAATGCCAATTTTTAGAATATGATGTATTTGATATACAGTTTTAGAATGCTATATTTTAAAGAAAATATATTTAACATGGCAATATAGTATATTCCACATTTTTGTGCATGTTTTTAACTTCAAATCTGGCGCTCTTGTGAACGTTTGTTTCCAAAAACTTTATGCAATCCCAATTATTGGAATATGATGTATCCGATATATATTTTTAGTATACTATATTTTACAGAAAATATATTTAACATAGCAATATAATCCAAAATAGTATATTCCACATTTTTTGTGCATGCATTTAAATTCAAATCTGGCGCTCTTCTCAGCGTTTGTTTTCATCATCCATTATCTTTCCTCGTATGTTGGTACGACTGCCCATCATATGTCACATGATTTTACATTGCGTGAGCACCAAGTGCCAAAAGAACCCACTGATTATTACGAGGTTGATCGGGCGGTGACTGCTCGATTTTTGTGTCAATTTGCAGTTTTAGTAGTTATTTTATTTAGAAATTTGTTATAAATCAAATCAGCAACCATGGCTTTAAGCGATGCCGATGTACAAAAACAAGTAAGTCGATATTTGAGATATTTGGTATTGAGTGTCAAAATATGTTATCAGTGAATAGTATATTATATCATAAAAAGGGCTAAATCTGGTTTTAATGCAACAAATGCGCTAAGAATATATAGCTTATGCGTTTGATAAGCAAAAAAGTATTATCAATTCAATATGTGATATGTGTCTTGTGACTGATCACATGCAAAAATGGCCTTCCATATAAGCTTCAATCAATAACATATAGTATCAAACAATTGTTAAATTCATCTTAAAAGCAACAAATCCAGCTTACTAACAAAACTTGAAACAAAGATGATGTTCAACATGAAATTTGCAGACCATCATAATACTATATACTTTTGATGTAATTAGATTCAGGCAAAATGCTTATATGTTGGAAATATTATGTTACAGATCAAGCACATGATGGCTTTCATTGAGCAAGAAGCCAATGAAAAAGCTGAGGAAATTGACGCAAAAGCAGAAGAGGAATTCAACATTGAAAAGGGACGATTGGTACAGCAACAGCGACTAAAGATTATGGAATACTATGAGAAGAAGGAAAAACAAGTTGAATTGCAAAAGAAAATGTAAGTATATTTAGAGATAACCTTCGTACAATTCAATTTTTATTTACATAAGTATAAATTATGTTCCTAACTTCTTACAATATGTTACTAATTAATAGTTTCTTTTTATACTTTATGAAGGAATTTAATGCTGCATAATTTCAATTACAAATGTTGTCTATGTAATATAGCAAAACCCTTATACATTTTAATAATTTTGTACTAATCTATCTTTCTATTCTGCAGTCAATCATCCAACATGCTCAACCAAGCTCGATTGAAGGTATTGAAAGTTCGTGAAGATCATGTGAGGAATGTTTTGGATGAAGCCCGCAAAAGGTTGGGAGAAGTTACACGTAATAAGGAACAATACAAAGAAGTTTTAACAACACTTATTGTACAAGGAATGTTCCAGGTAAATATTTTTTTATAGTTCAAATAGCCAATTTTGTAATAGTACTTCTTCACTTGCTTTTCATTGTTATTTCTTTTTAAGAAATACACATTTACATAAATTATTTTATGTATTCAAAAAAGATAGTTTAATTGTTCCTTTGTAACATGAAAAAATAGGTTCTCAATAATAAAATCAGTGTATAAATTATTTGTTTATGGAAATGATTTAACCCTTTTGTGCATTTATCTTAATAGCAAACTTCTGACTATACCGCAGTAGTTGTATTCTTGTGATAACAGTTAATGCATATTTAATTTACTTCATGCTTTTATTATATTTTTCAGCTTATGGAGCCCAAAGTATTATTGAAGGTCCGCAAAGCTGATTTAGATTTGGTAGAATCAGTTTTAACTGATGCCATGGATCAGTATAAACAACAGATGGTTACCAAAGAAGTTGTCGCCACTATCAATAGGGAAGCATTTTTGCCAGTAGAATGCTGCGGTGGAGTTGAATTGAGTGGACTTAATGGCCGCATTAAGGTATTGATTTGGAATTTATTATATTCATTGTACTGAAAGTTATGTAACTATTTATTCAATGATTTTATATATTAATTTAGGTTTCAAACACATTGGAATCCCGTTTGGACTTGATTGCTCAACAATTGATTCCAGAAATCCGAACTGCCTTATTCGGAAGCAATGCCAACCGTAAATTCACAGACTAAATATTCATATCAAATTACATGATTAGGATGCAAAGTGACCTAGATTCGTATTAGTAAGAAGCATCAAGATCAAAATGAATGCACAATCAGATTCATAATGAGTGTTTTTGCATGATACACATTTTTTCAGACAATAGTTCATATAATTGATGCTTCCACTTTGCTTCATAGTCCTATTTCAAAAATGTTAATAGATGCACATTCCGTAGAAGTTATATAGCATGCTATAATTGAATGATGAATATTACATTTGAAATTTTTGAATACTTAATTGGTCTAAATCATAATTTTCTGAAACATGCATTTTATTCAACACTTTTGCTGTGTAAGGTCTATAAGGCTAATGTGCTTCTCTCAATCCTTAAACTCTGAAAAAAATATTTTGAGCAACAGCACCCACTTTTTCAACACGAAGATTTAAAAATACTATGTAGCTCTACAACATCGACTACCTTTTGAACAATCTATAAATAAACCTTTCTGCAGAAAGAGTGGTGCTCAAATACTTTTATTAGGAGTTGAAATATGGACTTTTTAAATAATTTAGTATTGTAGTATATAAAAACCTGGCAATCTGTACCAAATTATTTAATTAGTCCCACGTACGTACTATAATTGTCTCAGTATTGTTAAACAAGTTTTATTTTGTTGTTATTTAAAGTTATTGTATATTGAAGTGTGCTAATAAATTTCAAATTTAATATAGTTATAAAAACGTGGAAACTGGTGTAAATATGTATAGATGTCTAAACAAATATAGTTATCTCAAAACTGAAATATTAGGTTTAATTTTTTATTTTAGACTTTCAATACTATGATTAAAGTTTTATCATATGACATATGTAAATGAACTAAAAATTAATTTATATTTACCAAGTACCAAGTAATTAAACTAAATACAATAATTTATCTAATTGGAAACTAATTGCACAAAGTGAAACTTGACTTCTATATATTTATCAATTATAAATGTTTGAACATTATAGAGATTTAATTAATTTAATTTTGCAGTAATAAATATTATATAAATAAAATTCTTATCATGTTTTCAAGTTTCTTAAGCTGTTGTCAAATGCAACATCAAACTTCCGTCGTATGTGTTTTTTTTTCTTAGGTTGTCAATATGATTCTTACGGCGTCAAATAATTATTAACATTAGATTCCAGTAAGAGAGTGAATTGGCATCATAATTGTGTCAATATATTAAAAATATATATTAAATATTAAATTGTATATTTTAAATTGTGTAGTGATGTGTATTACCCAGTTAACTATCCTCTTTTTGGTAAGTGTTAATTTTTATATATAATTTATATATTTAGTTGATTTAATTAACTGTAGAAGTATATGATTATTTTCCTGGATATTCTTATAAGAAAGTCATATGACTTTTTCCGAATATTTATATCTGTCAATTTCGGTAGTACACGAAAGTTAAGGATAACTTCTTGAAGCATCTATTTTACAATATAATCTAAAGTTTATTAAAATTACATTTGTTTAACCTTTTTGACGGATGATAGTGCGATGGAAAAGGTTTCATCGCGTATAAAGTACAAATTGTAACAAAGATTTCATTTAACTTCGCTTTATATTGGTTTTGGAAAATAATCATTTTGCTTCTAAACTGTCAAATTGTAAGCAACGATGCAATGGTACGTTATGCCCAGCGGGGTGGTGAGCTTTGCGGGGCTCCTCAGATTATGAATACATCGTATTCTAATATAGTCTAGGGGGCTCCTTATCAAATTTTTTGGGGACCCCTTAAGAAAAGTAGATATTTTTTGCAAAATATATAAAAATGCATAAAAATTCATGATGCGAGGTTGATGATTAAACAAAAAGCATCATTTATAAACGACATTTGTAATAAATAATTGACCGACTTGTCCCAAAGGAAATTCTTAATGTGTATATATTTCACTCGATTCGAGATCAATTACTGACGATAAATGCTTAATGTGTGATATTAAATAATAGTTCATGTGTACTTATTTATAAATAAGTGTCTGGATTTATGGAAAACAATAGTCTGACTCATAGATAAGGAACTGGTTTGACTTAGAAGAGTATTCTTAATCTCTGAATAATGAATTTTTAGGACAATTTTGAATCATTGTAAAATTTGACATTTAAATAAATAGTATTCTCTCAAAATCGAGTTTTGCGAGTTTGGTGAAGCTTGACACACATTGTTACAGGTGTGAACTAAAATTATCTAAATCTAACTATGACTTTATACATTTATACATAAGTAGTCTATATATTTATCTCTTTCATATTACTTTATTTTAAAATATTTAATTTATATAAGAAATTAAGTATAAGAGTCATATCTAGTATAGTTTTTTAATTCAGTTTTAAATTTATTTAAGATTGTCAATATTTTTATTTCGGTAGGTAATTTGTTGACTGCTGCACTTCTAAGGGGGGGGGGGGGGGCTTGTACGTCCTTTTTGTTTTAGAGTGTTTAATATATGAAAGTTTTCTATCTGCCTAGTGTGATGTGTATATCCTGGTTTGTTTCTATTGTTGTACATGTTTCGATTACAAATTTAATACTGGATTAGTTTTATAGATTTGATCACATCTAAAATCCACAAGAATATTTACTTACTTGTCGGATGTGGAAAAGTTTTACATCTAGAATTTTTTTGTGGGCGTAATAACCATCGCAGTAATTAATAATATTAGGTTTGAAAAGTACATATGGAGTTAAAATCTGTTCAGGACCGATACAAGGGTCCTCAGCGCCCTCATGCCATTTTCTTTGGCGCCTCCTTTCCTCTATTTTTTAACTGTTTTCACAGTTGTCATTGAAATTATATGAAAAACTACGTGTTTCGGCCTAAAGCGTGCGCCCGCATTTTTCGCATGCATTGCATTCAGGGTAGGACCGGCCCTGAAACTGTTTAAATATTGCGCAACAGAATATAAATTCTCTTAAGGCGTTGGGCTTATTAATTGTTGAAAACTGGGATCTTTTAATGTAACTTTTAATGTAATGATAACAAAAAGTATTTCCAACTTTTCAAATCTTGCTCTCCCGCTCTTATAAAAAAAAATGTTGCGCCCCTTCTATTAATTAAAAAAATATTTTTTTACATTTTCATTTCATAAATACCTAACAGATAATATAATTCAATTATCAGAGAACAAATTAATATGCAATATTATGTAAAAATATACATTCCAAATTATTTGTTAGAAATTGGAACATTGGAAACACCAGTACGCCTTCTTTGGAGCAACTTTGCTCCCCCTCGTAAAGGCATGCCTCATCTAAATATCAACAACAAATTAATATGCAATATTTTGTAAAAATATACATGCAAAATTATTATTTAATTTTTCCACATCAAATCAAAATTTCTGGTTTATTTTCGAAAATAGTCTTTTGGAAGCACCCTTGCAGGGGTTGTATAACCCCTTGCAGGCACGCCCCACCAGTTGGAAACCACGGAGTTAACGTAAATATTTTATTATATTTAAGTCAGACCAGTTCCTTATCTATGAGTCAGCCTATTGGATTCCATAATTTTAGTCCCTTATTTACAAATAAGTACACATGAACTTAAATATACATTAAGCAACTATTTAATTAATCTGTAATTAATCTCGATTGAGATATTCGCATTATTCCTTTTCGGGGCAAGCCGTTCAAAGCCAATGTCATTCAGAAATGGTGCTATAATTATAATTTATGCACATTGAAACTGTTAATACTAAATTCATTAAATATTTAGTAAATGATTCACGAAAAAGACACTTAGGCCATGCTTAAAATGGAAATATTGTTGATAAGTTTTGCGGGATAACTTTATAATCAGCACATAAGTGCAAAATTTGTCTTCAATGTTTTTCCAAGACTCTTGGTTTTTTAAATTTAAAAACTGTTCGAAAGATATCATTTGGAAACCGTAATGATGAGTTTTTTGGCAAAGATCGGCTGGGTCGTTTCTTCGTAATTAATTGTTCAAAATTTGTTTTTTAACGATTTTGATAAAACTTGTTTGTTTGTTTGTGATAGACTTTATGTTTGCGACAAGCATTCTGAAATATTATAGATCTACAAAAAGTGGTTTAGTTACAAAAACTAATTAAAGTTTAGAATGCAAATTTTATTTTCGAAACAATTACTTAACTCTTTTTGTCACAATTGCAACAGTTCTCAAAATTCAATTCTTATTGATTATTCACATAATTTGGGAGTTAATGGAAAACTTGCTTGAAAAAGCCATTTACGCCAGTTTGTAATAGATTTCTACCTTTTTTTATACTACTAAGAACTTTTTTTTTCTTTTTTTTTTAAACTTTGTTTTATTTACCAATCAGAAATACATAAGGATTCCTATAAGCTAAATAAGAACTAAAAACAATTGCAAATATAACTTTGTAATATAATTTTTTCTAAAAATATAAAATTTATGGGTGTCTACTCCTAAGCGCTTCCACTTCAACTGTCGATTGACAAGAACATTTGACAAAATGTTCACGAGGTTTTCATAATTGACGATGTCGTCTGCTTCTATACATGTTAACACGATTATAAAAACAACCCTCTTGTTGATAACAGATTTATTACTAGGTCCAATATTTGAGTGAAATATATTGATAGTGGAAATGGAGCTGTGGCTATTTTTAATTTTGATAAAAGCGAGTCTAATAATAAATATTCACTTCATGTAATATAGAAATTTAAGCTTTGTCTAATAGCTAATATGCCACTTGATTTCGTTTATATTTAGTGTTTGTTCTTCCTCGTAGCTTTGTGGTAAGGCTGTGGTCTTGCAAACCAAGGTTCAGTTTTTACTTGAAACTATATTTCTAAATATGTGCCTTGTCCCGGTATTTACACATCAATTGAAATAATATGCCAACAGTTCCAAAAGAAATAGATAAAAATATATATTGTTAAATTCTTATTAGAAAATTTCCAATAAGAATAGATATAGATATTAAATATAGATAGGCCAAATTTTACTTTCCTATTTTAAACTTTGTGCATTTCTTAAGCACGTTATAATTTTGATTCACACATGGATAGATTCTTCTTC